GGATTACTTTATCTTCGTTGCACATGCACGTACTTCATACGTAGTTTACCTTCCAATTAACAACGTCTCGGCACGGTTCCCGTCGTGGAAACCGTCGTGTCGATATATCTCTGCTGGTCTACTCGTATTTCTGGCGCATCGTATAATATTCGTATGTTATCGTTAATAATCTTAAATGATAGATAAATGTCGACGAGCCATGATGGATGTATGAATAGTGATGCGACAATGCAAGCGCTATAGTGACGCAGCGATAGATGACACAACGGGCGGTAGGTTTTTTTGCTTGTTTTTGGCGCGATGGACGAAATATATGTGTGTGTATGTATATATATATATATATATATATATATGTATACAAACACACGCGATATATATATATATATGTATATATAGTATATATATATGTAGTATATATATATCGTATATATCGAAAAGTCAGGGAGAGAAGAGAACCGCCGTTTGTCGGGCGCGACTTCTCAGGGCGTGAAGAGGTGAACAACGGAGCTCAATAATGGGGATGAACAAGTGGTATGCCGTACGTGAAATCAATGGATCATATTGGCGATGGCATTCTGACGTGCTCGCTTCGCCTCCTCTTCACTGATCCTCTGCTCGATCAAGTACTGAGCAGTGTTGATCGCATTGGGATAACCCGTGATAGTCACTATGCGGTTCCTGGTACCAGGGGCGAACATGCCCTTCTTAGAGATTTGTATGTTGGCGCCACTTAGGTGCTGAATCTCAATGAGGGCACGACCACCGGGTCCCAGAATAGCTCCCACTATAACCTCTGCAATTTCTATGTCTACTTTCTTGGTTTCCTTGCTGTTGGCGTCTACCTGTGTAGGACTCTTACTTACAAGTGATAACTGGTTAGTGCCCAGGCCGAACGAATTGTTGTTCAGGTGTATAGCACTGGCAGCAGTGTTGTTCTGTCTGAACGGATCGAACGGCTCGTACCGATCGAGGGTGTTGCGCGGCGTCGGCGAGGTCGATCCGAGTGCGGGCACAGTACCGATCGGTCCAAACACGCCGCCGTTGTTATTCGAACCGTTCGCGGTCGTGGTACTGTCCATCGGATTGCCCAAATAACTCATACTCGACGGCATGCCGATCCCCATCCCAAGGATATTGTACTTGGCGAGGGTGGCGATCGCGGCGAGTATCTCCGTAGCGGCGGGCTCGGAAAAGCCTGTTGTACGTAGATTCAGCTTTATGTGTTCCAACAGCTGCGTCGTTACTGGTGCGGTGCCCGCTGTAATGGCCGCGCCCAGATTCAGATTCAGACTTAGACCAGCGCCGTTCAAGAGGCTCACTGGAAAAAAGAAACGGACCGAGCGATCGCGGGATCTTATTAAATTACTCGAAACGGGTGAACGCGATCGCGTTGTGTCGTCGACTCGTTAAAAGTCTAACGCGCGCCAACGTAACGCCGAGCGCTCGATCGCGACAACTGCCAGAATTCAGATAATGCGCCCAGTTCATTCTTCTGTCTTGTTAACGATCATGGTGCTGTTCAACAAGAGTTCATGTAATCGGAGGCGCTAAATATAGTTTACTTCTTCCGTTTAAAGTACGTTGGAGACTGACGTCTTGATTGGAAAACGATAATAAAGTTCACAATTTCCTCCCGTGTGTAGTTATTAAAAAAAAAGAGAGAAAAAAGAAAAAAAAAAAGAGGCGCGTATTCTTGCAAACTTGTATCTGTGAATATTATTGTGCAAAGTGTTTTTGCGGTCAATAATAACGTCCATACCACGTACGTGACAAAAACTAATTTGTCGTGTTATTGAAAACTGTAAGTATGGGGGACAGTTTATCGAAATCGTAAGATAATCAGCGTCAACTAACCTGTGTTTAAACCAGCTGTAGACGTATACGTGGGAGTACTTGTGGGGGCTTGAGCGTACGGGCTGCCTGTAGGATTGTAGTTGGCAACGGGACCACTTACATCCGCGTAACTGACATTAAGACAGGTTCCGCTTTGCGGATCATCTGCCACTTTCGCTAAGATCATGAGTAACGCATTACGATTATTTTCTTTCTCACCGATCACCGTTATGCATCGCTCTTGAAGTGATAGATCTTTAGCTTTCTGACTTATTTGGACATACGAGCCGGACTCCTCTTTAATCTGCTTAATGTAATTCCCGGCCTTTCCTATTATCATCCCTGCAGTGCTGTTAGGCACTAAAATTTTCACCTGAAACGGCAAGCATTACGGGCTCGTGTCATTCACGCGCGCATGATTTATTAACACAATGAAGAGAGTAATTATATGAGACTGACTATCAAGGACGATTTCATCATCTGCTACAAAACGCAATAACCATTCCAGTCTTTTCCATTATCTATTTTAGCATTTCTCCTTTTGCGAAGATTTATTGCAGAAGCATTTATAATATAATATTGAAGTTAATGTTATAGAGTAGAAAATTTATATTACTCTTAGAAAATATGCTGTACGTGTAAAATGCTAAGAAAACAGATACGTTAAAATCTCTTTTCGCGAACAATTTTAAAAAAGCGTGGAACGGATTGAAGTAAACAAAGGTGTTCTCTATCATTTTTTGTCAAATAACACGCAAAATTTCGAATTATTAATTATTGGAAATAGCCAAATGTAGAGGTTTTTAATTAATAACTAAAAGATTTGCGTATTATTTGCAAAATGGTACACACAATGAAGGATTAGGAGTACAGGACTTTTGTCCAGAGTGGTTTAAATTACAAGTAAATAATATCTGTTGTATTTAGCGACAATATATTGAATATTGAACTTTGAACCTATCATTAGGCATAATAGTTGTCATATATTTATAAATTAGGCTGTTTTGAGCAAAAAAAAATCCTGCACCATTTTGCAAACAATGCGCAAAATTTTGAGTTATCAAAGAATAATTAAAGAAGCATCTATACATGGCAATAATTTTCAATAATTAATAACTCGAAATTTGGCGTGTTGTTTGCAAAGTGGTAGAGGACATTTCTGTTCACCTCAATTCGTTCTATATTCTCCTCACAAAGTTTATCCCTCTTAATCTGGGATATTCTGTAGGGATATTTCTATAAGAAGCAACTTTTAACATCATAAATTCAAGTTCGTACATTTATTTTAGAAGAGATATCTCGCGTATAAAATATCAGGACAAAAATTCTTCAAGGAAGTGTTCTCATTATAATAAATGTTTGATTCTTATACCTGCTTATCTCTCTCCGCAGTGGCTTTACCAGAGTCAAAGTCGACCGTAGTTTTCGAGGTGAGGTCAGGTTTCTCGCGTATTTTCTCCATGATAAAATCCATTACCGCCATTATAGCTTCTACGCTGCCTGTGATCAGGCATACTCTTTCGGTAGTTCCTGTTACAGACAGACAAAATGGCTCATTAAAACATCGTTGATGTACAAGACGTGGATATCGTTGATGTATGGATGTGTATATGCATGCGCAAAAACACACAAGACGAATACATACCTGGATAAAAATCATGCGATTTAGACATTTTCACCCTTGCCCCCGTATCCTTTTGAAGTTGAGCAATTGTGTCTCCACCTTTTCCGATGATGGCCCCAGCTGCCACACCGGGGACCAGTACTTTGAGGTGATACGTTCCATCTCCACCTGCAAAATCAAAATGAATCATTCTGAGTCATTTTTACACCTGTGCGGAAAAATAATTGCCAATGTGTGTTATGCAACGAAGTACGATTCAACGTGTATTCTTCGATCGATGTCAGACCGAGAGAATTATTCTTATGAAGTTCGTAGAGTGGTTTATGATAATGACGAGATATATGTGTGATAACATAGTATGGGGCTCGATATAAAATTTACAAAATTAACAGCCACAAGCCAATCGTGTAAAGGCGTATCTTACGTATCTTGCAACATAATTTTGGCAAAGGACAATTATGAGTGGTCGGTCGTAATTTCCGCTATTTATAACGTTTTACCATCTCGTTTTCGAATACAAGGTTTCCTAATTTTAGTTCGCACATCTCCGATTTCTGCGAGTATCATCTCTTTTCGAGCGATTTCGATCGCACGCTTTGAAAGAAGAAAAAAAAATGTCCGAATTAATCCTGCATCGGTCACTCCTCGATGAATCCAGGATCAGATTCCGCGAAGTTCTCGGACGTAATTTTAAGTAGAGGAGACCGGGGCTAGTTGGCTAATTAATTATTTCCGTTGTTTTCTAATAGAGGTTACAGAATCGAGCACGCAAAGATTTCAAATGTGTCAAAGATAGTTATGGAATAACCCTGCTTGCTCGATTCTGCAACCTAGAAGATAACAAAAATTAATCAATTACCCAACTTATCTTTTTAGTCAACCAGCCCTAGTCTCTCCTGCACAAAAACAGTATGTCCGTCGATGTAAACTTCGTAGAAACGACGTTTCACGAGAAAAAAATCCGGGAATTTCCCGGACACGGTCTCGTCCCGGTAATCTCTCTCTCTCATAGCTCCGACCCTGTGTATCACGCTATCGCGAAACGTCATGTTGCCTCGCCGGAGTCGGGCGAACATATGACTCGTCACTTGAAAATCGCCGATCGATTCACGATCAATCCTTCCGCTTCTCGAGCTTTTCCACGTCCACGGTTGAGCGGGCGAGGTATAGTTCTCGGGATCGACACATTCCGAAAATGCACGACCTTGCCTGCCTACATTGGCGAGCGTGATCGAACGGCCGAGGAAACTTTGCTCGAAGTCGAAGTCGTGTGACGTTGACGTTCGAGTCGGTTAACCGAGTGATGACGACGCCGGTGGAGGATATCGAGGAGTAAACCCGCACGCCCGCTAGCTAGCTTGCTCGCGAGAGGAGCAGAAAAACCCAGAGATGCGGATATAGTATTACTATTATAAGCTAACGACTATCCGTTCTCCTCGAGATTACGGCTGACGGCTATCGCAAGTGGAGAGAAGAGAACCGCAACAATCACGCGATCAATCTTTCGCGACTCTGACAGGATACGTGAGGTCCCGCTGAAAATTTCTTCCCGCAGGAGTTCATCACTTCCGACGAGCGTTCTGATTTCGACGAATTTCTCTCTTTGATTGAACGACGCGACAAGACCAAGAGGGACGCACGATAAAATCGTAGACACCCAGACGAAGGAGCAAGTCGAACGATCCTGATCGACGCAACCGGCAATTACGTCATTGGCAAATACAGAAAAACGCGGTCGATCACGGTCAACTGTGATTAATCGCCGTGCGAGCGAGCCGATCTCGAGATCGAAGCTCGAACTCGCACACGGACAGCTACGTGAGAGGCCTGTTTTATTTTTTCTTTTTGCTGAACTGGCTGCACTAGCTTGCACTAGTTCTCATCTTCTCTTTGTCCCGGTCTACAATAAATGTCTTCAACCTTGAGAAATTGACCAATCACAGTTGAATATGAAGAGAATAATCGACCGTGATGACCCTCAAATAACAAGATTCATATGGATCGATCCGTAGAATTTGTAGATTTTCAACTAATTTTTTCGACTGAGTATTTTTCATTCTCCAACAATAAGTCGGAGAATATTTAAAAGTAAATAAAATATATCGCAAAATATGTGAAATACCTAAAATATAACGTTTCACAGGCGTTTGCGGAAGCATTAGAATATGGACCTGATCGGATCCAACCAATTTTGTTATCTGAAGGTCAACTCTTAATAAGATCCGTGAGTGTACGTTAGTCCAGCGAAAAAGAACAGACTTAATGGATGCTTTCCATGTGACGCGAATATCATTTTGTCTCTGTTCCGTATTCAGCGAATAACAAAGATAAGAAGCTGCTTGTGTCACCAAGTGGAAAGCCCGATATAAATCGAAGAGACCCGACCACAACGACGGTGTCCTCTCGATCGAGGATCCCCGCACGGTCTCTCGACTCCTAATTATAACGGCGGCGAAAGAAAGAAAATCGGAGTCGGTCACGGTCAACGGTGAGGCCAAAGCCGATCGCACGGAGGGGCACCCGGCTGGGTGGATCGACGTGGCCACGACAAACCGCACTCGTTCGCGCACCGACGACGACGATCTGTCGACCTCGCTCGGCCGCCCTTCCTTCGGCGGAGGGGCGTGATCCCGAGGCGCGTCCACGTCGGGAACACTCGCTGGGTCCAGTGACACGCGCCAGGAACGCTGAGACTAACGGTCGATGCGGAATTGTTCGGAAGGGACGGCATAAGACCGTAGTTGGACGTGCGAAAGGCAAACAGCTGTTTGACAGATGGAAGCCCTGCGCGCTGGCTGGCTCGCTCGCTCGCTCGCTCGTTCGTTCGTTCGGCTCGCCTGGCCCGGCGACCTTGACCCGCAACCTCGGCGCAGCGGAGAGGCGGCGGCGCGGTGCATGCGTGCGTGCGTCCGTGACAACTCACCGATGCGCCACATCCTAGCGGGCGCCGTCGTTCTGCTGCGCGCGGATGACAGCGGCGGCGCGCGTTCCGGCTACGAGGACTATGATGACGACCACCACGACGAAGACGACAGCAGCGGCGACAGCGGCAACAACGGTGGCTTCTCAACGGCGGCTGCGGCACCGCGGCGCTACGGATACGCGCCGACGAACGGAGCGCGGACAAGTGCGCGCGATTGATACGCGATGATGATGACGATGATGATGACAACGACGACGCGGATGATGACGACGACAGCGGGAACGCGCGATGACGCGGTGCGCCGCTATTTCCACGATGTCCGCGCGACAAAGTTGCAGAGTCACCGTAGGAGCAGCCACCGCCGTGGAAGCGGTCCTCCATTAACGTCGACGTTCTACAGGCACGACCGCCCACACGTAGTCGAGGGAATGAGAGAGAGAGAGAGAGAGAGGGGGAGGGAACGAAAAGGAAAGAGAGAAACGGAACGTCAAAATTCAAAACACCGTTTCCCACTGCGACGCGGTGCGCGACTCCGGTCGCCGTCGAACGTGGACGCACTCCGCGACTCCGAGGGACACGACGCGAAAAGCGAGGACAGAGGGAGAGAGAGAAAGGAAAAAAGGAAAAGGGGCGATCAGACAACGGGCGGAAAGAGGAGACGTGGCACAGGAGAGGATGCGCGAGGAGAGGCGCTGTGCGGCGGCGGTGCACCGTATTCGCGTTGTCGCGGTGTACATACGCGATCGCCCAGGCGATCCGCCGCCACCGACGAGTCAGACCTCGGAGGTGGGAAACGAAAGGGAACGGCGAGCGGGCCGCCGTGTCAACAGAGCACGGCGAGATTGTCAAAAGGTGCGCGCGAAACGAATAGAGGAAGAGAGGGAGAAGTAGAAAGAAGGAAAGAGAGGGATTGAGAAATGGCAAGGGAGGAAGACGGAGCGCGAATGCTGGAGAAAGAGAGACAGTCGTTCCCGCATATACGTGTCCGCCTATTGCGCGAGCGGTGTGCGAGTATGCGTGCACGCGAGAGAGGAGGCTACCGCGCGATACTCGAAGCTCCGCGAGCGAGCGAGAGAGATAGAACGAGCGAGCGAGGCACGGTGTAGCGCGGGCCAGCGAGCGAAATCGTCGGGACGACGACGACGCGGCGCAACGACGCCCTCCTAATCGACATACCTGATCCGTAGTGCGACCTCTTGGTTGCGCCGTTTTCCGCGTCGCAGTCGAGCGGCCGCTTTCTGGAGTCCGCAATCTCCGGGGAGGGACACGTCTCCATTCCTGAGTCGGCGGCCATCTTGTTCCTCGCTCGTTGCGCGCACGGTGACACACACACTCACACAGGCACGAGACAGGCGGTAGACGGCGCACACAGAAGCGGAGATGAGAGATATACACACGGACACTACACTCCGCGGCCGAAGGTAGTAGGGGAAGGCCAGGAAGGCGAACAAGGGGGAGAGAGAGAGATAAACGGAGGAAGAGAGGGAAGAAGAAGAACGAAACGCGGAGCAGACGAGCGCGCGCGAGTAAAGACGAACGGTGGATTAGAGACGAATGGTAGAGGAAGCAGCAGACGATGTTCGTTCGCGGGGGCAAGTGTGTATCCGGATGAGGCGCGCGCGAGAGAGAGAGGAGAGATATACGTATCGCGCGCGTGCTCCTTCTCTCTTTTTTTTCTTTCTCTCGACGGACGAACGTACGTACGTACGTACGCGCGGTTACCGAGTTGTTGCTCGCAGATGGGGGACACGGTATGTAGGAACGCACGCCACGGACGTACGTACGCGCGCACGTACGGACGGACGATCGAGCGAACGAACGAACGGGCAGGCGGACGAGCGAGCGTGCGAGCGAGCGAACAAATGACACACGCGCTCGCGGGGTGCCGCGTCTCACTGGCGACTGCTCGCGGCTCCCTTGCCAACCAGCTGGTTGATACTCGCTGTGCCCTCGCGTACACCTCTCTAGGCTCGCCGCGTCTCCGTCTATCCTGCGCGGTACCTATCGCTACTGCGCCTCTCTGTTTCCCTCGTTCCCTCTCTCTCTCCCTCTACGCGCTGTTTCTCTCCTCGTCTCGCCCAGCCCTCTCGTGGGTTCCGTTCAGCAGTGCCGTAGCAAGCCGTATGCACCGCGGGCGCCTCGCTCCCGGACGCCGTTGCTCCACTCACGTTGCGCACCCCGCGAAAATTTCAGGCGCGCTCCGCGAGGGTACGAAGGCGACCAGCGAATCTGCAAACGAGTGAGCGACCGACCGACCGAGCGGGCGGATACTTCCGGGATGGTTTCTTCGGAGGTCTCACGGAAACCACGGCGAGCGTTGCGTCGCGGCGCGCTAGTGGAGGAGGAGGAAGAAGGGAGGTAGAAGAGGAGGAGGAGGAAGAGCGCGCTCGTTACGTAAGCGATGACGAGACGTAACCCGGCGCTGGCGCCGCCGACGCGCTGCGTCGTTCGTCCTGCGCGGCTGAAACGCGCGCGCTTTAGATCGAATTATGGCGTCGTGTTTCGCTGTCGCAGCTGGCCGCGCGCGCACTCACTGCGGAGTGACGTTCGCCGCGATCGCGGGCGTTTTCGAGTCCTCCGAGTGGCGGATAGCAGCAGCTCCGACTCCTTCGGAGGACCTTCGTCCTTCCCCAGGTGGACGGAAATGCTGAACAGTAGTAGTATGCAAATTCACACAGCAAAATTTATTGGAGATATGTAATTAGTCATCTTTATACCTGCAATTTCAAAAGTTGTATCTAAGATATCTTATTTTCAGATATTCATAGAATATCTGCAGGACATCATTACTCGATATCATATTTTTTCCTTGGAAAAGATATCTCTGCAACATTTGCACACGACTATGGCCGGTATTAAAATCTTACGGGTATCTTTCAGATATCTCCGTGATATCTTAACAGTCAGGTATTTAGACATTCAAATATTTTCTAGATATCTCTGTGATATATTTTGTTATGTGGAAACATATAAGTCCATTTTTTAACTCATTTATCGATAAAAGCGCCTTAAAGGCAGACGCGTGCGTATTCACTATGAATCTGGTGCTAACGCTTCGGCCCTTCGATTGTTGCACGCGCTACATACATATTCAACTGTCGCATCTTGAAAGAATGTAATCTCGTCCCAGACAGCCAAACTTGCAGAAGCAGATTTTACGCAATGTATGCTATAAATTTTGTCGGCAGCTTGTTAGCAGAAATATACAAGATTTGTCAACAGAGCATGACGACAGATTGGCGATAGAAATTGAGCGGGATCTGTCATTTCGTCATCATTTAAATATACATTTAGATAGACCAGAAATGCTGAATAAAACATAGTGTGCTAATATTTAACATGTATTTTGTGATATTATTGCAACATGTTTAAAATATGCTTGTTTTAAGAAATACTCATTTGTTACGCCATCATTTTAATCGAAGTATTGATTTCTTATTACTACAATAATTCCGAATTGCGCTCTTTTACAGGTAAAATATTTTTGTCAGATATTTAAACATTCAAATGTTTTCACATCAGATTCTTTCTTTTATATACTGACAAAAATTCTAGTCGTATGAGGACGCATCTTCACGTATGTTAGTCACGATGCAGACAATATACTAAAACATGTCTAAGTATTTAACCTTGCTATTCTGCTCGGGTCTGTTTGTCCCAAATCATCAATCAGTTTTCTTCCCTGTTACATTTTTGTGATGAGTGAGCGTTTTGACTGTCATAACTTTGTTTCACAGCTTAGTTTCAAATGAATGTTTTTAAACTATGAAGCAAAGTCATGAAATACCATAACGCTCACTCAAATCACATAAAATTACATAAAAATATAACGGAAATAAAAATGATTTCGGGTTAGACTTGAACAGAACAGCAAGGTTAAATGGAGTATGCTGCAGATCTTGCTCGATTTCCGCCGTCAATCTGCTGTCAAACTGCCGGCTCTGTCGACAAAACACGAGCTTACCCAGTAAGCAGGAAACGTTAAATCAATCTTTTGAAACATTGATTTTACATGGATTTTACAAACGTTTTGACAGAAATTGTTTTCTAACTGTTTTTTTAATTGTCATTTAATATTCCTAAATATTAAAGTCATAGTGTAGAAATATTATTTTTAATATTTCAGTCAAATATTGTTAACAATTGGTAACGTATTGTATTGGTATTATAATTGTATTGGTAACGTTGTATATATAAAACGTTAAGAACTACGTATTTGAAAACGTTGCATGTTATAAAATGTCATTGTAATAACGTTGTGTTAATAGTCTCTCGCTTACTGGATAATACGTACACAAGTGGCTGTAAATCTGCTACGGTGTTCTGATCGAATCTGCCGGCGTACTACTAATATTTTGCTTACCGAGGTCCACAAATCGTCATTCAATCTGCGACTGATTGACCATAGTCGTGCAGCACGCTGTGACAATGTCATCCTAATCATTCGTTTGGTCATGTCTCTCTCTCTCAATAGTATACCGCAGCACGGTATTCCTATAGCGCACGCGGATTGCCGTGTTTCTTTTATACGGCTGTGTTTCGTTTCGCTCGCGATGAGCAATCGGCGACCTTTGCGCTCTCGTAAACGCGATAGCGCGCGCGTGCGCTCGCGCGTACGATTTCTCACCGCCTCTACCGCTCCGCTTCTGTTCAGCGCGCGACACACGGACGGATCGTACGCGATAGCTCTCGATTTCTTATCCTTGGTCTATAAATGTAGCGCGGCGAATATACTGCCTGGCGATTATGCGCGACCAAGCTAAGAGCAAAGTCCTTCGCGCGAGACTCCGGGACCCATCGCGTGCTATAACGCGAGATCGTTCCGCGATTCTCGCGCTTTGTTGTCGATTTCATCGACAATACAGTTTTCGTTTAACGCCCGTAAGAGCCTCGGCCCCATCGATGGGGTCCATTTTTCAGACTGATTCTTCTCCGAAGAAACGCCGTAGACGTAGTTTAAGGGCGAGCGGTAAATCTCCGGATAGAAAGAAACGGGACATCAGAGAAAGCACGATAGATATGACAGGGATAGCTCTGATGTAAATGCAGGATTTCTCTCGTTTTCACGTGTTCGAAATATCGATTTTCAGGAGGAGCTCCACGTTCGAATGAGCGACGCCCGTATTGTAAATGGCGTCCCACTGTGCCACTTCGCCGTTAATAATTGTGGGCAGAAAAGTCAATGGGTACACGGGGAGTTGGCAGCTGTGCAGGTAAGCGAGAAAACGCGCGCGAATCTGGAGCACGCGTGGTCGGAGCGGCGATTCGTCAAGAATCAATCGATCGATCTTTATCTGCTTCGCTCGCCTCGGCGGAGCTTTACGCTCGTTTCGCCAAGTTCCGTCGGTTCCGCTCCGCGGCTCGGATAAAAATGAAGCGAGTGCTCTTGCGAGAGCAGGCAGAGGCTTACGTCTCGAGGCAAAAGCACGAAAGAAGGGATCTCACCTTCACCTTTACCACCGAAGCATTCCATTCTTTTTGAAATACTCGCCCGTAAGCCCGCTTAGGTCGGCATGCGATCTCCCTGCGCGTGTATATTCTGCATTTCTTCCTCAGAAATGCAAAATGTTCCTCTTCGGTAAATAATTACATAACCGGAATAATTGGTTCCATTATAAAACCATGCTAAAATGCAAGTAAAAGATAACGCGCACAGCGCTCAATGAATCTTCTATAGCTGAGCAATTACACATGTGATCACTGTCGTCATCCATCGTTGCGGAAAGAAGAGAGAGAAAAAGAGATAGAGAGAGAGAGAGAGAGAGAGAAGGAAATATCTTTCTTATATTCCGGATACATACACGTGCAAGTGCATAGAAAACGGTGACATACGATCCGTGCTCTTTATTGTTCGTATCTTCTCGAAGTTTCTATTATCTCACGCCTACAGAAGCTAGTACTTCAGCTTCAAGTACAAGCGAACACTCCATTATCTTTATCTTTGCTCGTATTTTTCACACTCGCTTTGACAAATAACGACGGAAGCATCCGCTTATATAGAAGTCGTCTCATTCGTGTGACTCGAAGCGGGATGTTCGTGATTGTCGTGTATCATTTAGTAGCTTTATTTATAGCAGCCTTTTTTCCTTGTAACTATGTACGCCGTTATATTTCTGTTGAATGAAACATGTTCGAGACAAGCTTAATAGACCTGATAACACACAGCGATTAGTATATTCCGCACACAAGCCGTAGGCTATTTTTGAAAATCAAAATTGAAATACCGCCGCGCAATTATTAACCGAGTTGCTAAAGAAATCTTACAGCCTTTTGGATATTTTGCAACTGGATAATGATCGAATCGAGGAATTTTTCCTCGATTGCGTCATTTATCTAGCATCCGCGAAGCATGAGGGAGAAACGAACGAACATCTCTCTTTCGTTCTCTCTCCCCCTCTCTTTCTCTTTTTTTCTCTCTCCCTCTCTCTCTCTTTATCTTTCCTATCGTAACGTAATAACTGTCGTCAACCGGTTTTACACGCGGATTTTCGACTTCGACAAACTATCGATACAGTCAACAACGTCGCAGCGCGTCCACGTGTATCGGAGAAATGATGTGAGTTTAAAAGGGAAAAATCTTTCTTTACAGAGGTCGGTGAAGGCTAAGAAAAACTCACGATGTTATCAGTGATGCAACAGATGGACGCTTTCAAGATGATCTAATTAAATAAGTAAGTGCGCGATATCAATGTATTCGGTTCACTTAAAGTCCATAAATGAAACAACACGGATCTCACACATTTGCACGTGTTTACGTTTAAACTGTAACATAAATATGTATACTCTGCTCAAAATGATCGGAGGATCACACCGAACGAATAGTTTCATCGGGTGATTCGGCAACTTGTGAGCCAAGCGTGTATTATAGATTAAAATTAGATAGCGTGGAAGAAGGTGAGAGAGTGAGAGAGTCAATTCGCTATTCCGTGTCCGCTGGGTAATTTAGATATTTGAGAAAGTGACAGACCGTTCCGAGCAGTGCAACCGATTTATTAGCAAAGCCCGTGAATTTACAAAAGACCTTATTGCTGTCGCATTTCCTAGACATAATAACATTGAAAATTTCCAATTGGGCGTGTTATTTTTTTCATATTTGTGCATCATAACCGCTGTTTTGAAAATCGTTGCTGATTTATCAAATTTTTAACAGTCATGATACATAAATATTCACAGAATGTATATGGGTATCAATCATATAACTTTTCCTTAAGGTGAAAAATGTGTGGAACGTGTGGAGAAAGTGTGAAAAATGAAAATGTTTTCAAATTAGAAAATTTACACTTTTCACGAGTTCACGCTAGAGAAGAAGATTCATTATCAATCCCCAAGGGACCATGCATCTTCTTCTCTAGCGTGAAAAGTATAAATTTTTTATAGTTAAAAAATGTATCTTTTTCCAATTTTTATTCGGAAAGAAACCAAAAAAATCCGTGAAAAATTGAAAAATTCGGTTTTCTCCATTCCTTCACTCATTCACAGAAAGAAACCGAGAAAGCTGGATTTTTTTCAAGTTTTTAAAAATTTCCTAATTTGAAAACATTTCAAATCTTCACTTTTCACGCTATCGCCCTAGGGAAAATTTACATGATCGATACTCTGATTGGAAATGTTCGGTGTCGCTATGTCTAAAGAATGGGACAACATTAATGGAGTTTTCTGTGCAAGCGAGCGTAACTTTTCAGCGGGCTGCGTATGAAAAATCGAACGAACACGGAGGGCTGCGCGCGCGTGTCCTTGCCCCGCGCGAGTCATCGAGGCAGCGGATCTCCCGGTGTGCTTTTTTAGACGACACCGGGTTAGTCGGCCGTTCGCGGTACATATGCGCATGTACGTAGTGCGTACGTCTATACTTGAACACGAGCAAAACGCATATTATGTTGCATACATGCGCCACGCATGCATTTGAATGCGCTTATTCCCAAGGCCGCGCACGCGCGCGTGCTGACACACAACGCGACGATGTTCGGCGCGGCGAAGCGAAGCGAGGCAACCACGAAACTGTCCTTCGTCGCGGAAATTTTTTCATCTTCGCTATGACGTCGATCGAGTTATCACACGGCGCGCGATCGGGTATGATGCGCGGCGAAAAGCGACGGGTCATTCGCTTGAAATTCGCTAGTGCTGCAAACTCGCAACGGAGATAACACGCATTACCAAGTTACGAGGGGAGTTCACAGATTAAACTCGCAAGCATGTGATTTCCGTTTTTTAAGAATATAGATTTTAAACGATTCGGAGTAAGATTATTCAATCGTTAAAATAATTCGAGACTGTTACCTTGGGCGGTTTTCGTGGAAATATGAAATATTCATGTACTGACGATTAACTGGTGAAAAAATTGTTCATATATAATTATATATAATTATATAAATATGTGTGTATTTTAATATATAATTATATATAATTATATATAATTGTATATAATCATATATGATTATATATTTTTATGTATGGACGAAAAATAATGGGAAATTTTGTATGTGACATTGTGGATGTATGATATTTTACGCATAATTATACGTGAAAAATTCTTTAACGGGAAGAAGATTAAAAAGTTTTACATAAATATGTTCAGCTAAAACTACAATTGAATAACCAACACTAAAAGATTAGTTGTCAAAAAATCGAACACCATCTAGCGGAAAAAATTGTCGGTAAAAGTTGTAAAGAATAATTTCTAAAATTTATTATCCTCGGCAAATATATCTTACCGATGAGTAATCCTGGAATTTTATTAGCAAATAAGTAGCAACGCCAGGTTTCGAAAAGAATTTTTTTATTGCAGAAACGCGGTAATGACGCATACGGCGATTGCTCTATGGCGCTTTGAGAACTCAGCCATCCCTGATGTCTCCCTGATGCGTGGGTGCCCGCGTCTATACGCGTGCGTCACGTTGTACATGTCTACACGTTTCGCTGCTCGTAACGAAGAATAGAACACCACGTACAAAGCATGATAAAACCGAGGGGAGAAGATAAGATTACTTACTTTTTTAACGTGACGACTGCCTATGGTGCGTAACATAATGCACAGCCAGTGGAGGCTGTGCTAAATATGTCTCTGTCATACTCATGAGTACTGACGTAAAGAGACGTGGCACGAGGAAGGTTATGGGATAACTGATTTTGTTCGTTCAAGTTTCTCATTTACGAAAAATTATGGGAAACTTTGTGCGTGATATTGTGATTTGGTACGTCTTGCTTTTGATCTTGTTAATTCTACAATATTCTGAAAAAGGTTTGCACTTAGAATATTCTGTTATTCTAATTAATAGTGATCAGCAACTGACACACAATTAGGGCAAAGCGCTTTATGATCCTTACATGATTGTGTCTCTTAAATATTCTTTGTATTTATATAATGAATTGTAATGTATATACATGAATATCGTGGAACAAATACATTTTTATCCACAGTCGTGAATTGTAGTTTAAATCTTGTTTTGATCTGTGCGTATCACAATGTGATTGATAAAATATATCTTGTAGTGTGCTGCTGCTGCTGTCAGTCAGCATTATATTTGGAACTAGTGAGATCATCAAGTCATTAACAAATAATGGAGAAGAAATTCCCAAAACATCTGTTTACAATTCCATCGTTCGACTATGTTTAAATTTATTGGGATATGCTACTGTATTGTTGCCTGGTTACCTCATATACAAATATGTACGCTATACAAAGTATATTCAGAAAGGTGGTAAGTATTTCGTTGCCTTAGATAATTACTAGTACTGTAAAATATAACACTTCTAGATATATCGAGGCAATTGTATTTTAAGAAATACTTATGCAGGAAAAGGCTGCATTCCCAGATTGGTGCATTCGTGCTTTGTGGGACATTGCGAAACTGGTCTCTTGGACTCGCCTCCATATACTCCCAATACTTCAACTCACACCCAACGCACTTTCACGCAAGATGCCTTGCTCTTGATGTATTGTTTCTTTGGTTTGCAAGGCAGTTATCTATCATGGGGTTATTTACAGGAGAAAATTATGACGCAGGTCTGTGAACGTAGAGTGAAAATTTTATCGATATTTATGATATAAATGTCCATTATATAAATAAAAAGAGAACAATCTGACGCCATCTGTTATAAGAGATCTGTTCTTTTTTATTGAACTAATGTGCATTCATAGAACTTAAGAAAATACAAAAATACTTAAGACTTGGTGAGTGAAAAAGGAGAAAAGATCCAATACAAGCTAGCACAGTTGAGTTAAAAAAAGAACGGACATTATATTATCAATGTTGCAACTATACCTCTAATATCTCCATTTTTACTACAGGAATACGAAGACGCTTCTGGCAATAAGGCACGGTTTCAAGATTCGCAGTTTCTGGTATTCGTAAATCGCATTCTCGCCTTCCTGATGTCGGGGATATATTTACTCATTAAACGCCAGCCGCAGCACAAAACACCGTTGTACAAGTACGCATTTTGTTCTCTGTCGAACATCATGAGCAGCTGGTGCCAATACGAAGCTCTGAAGTACGTTAGTTTCCCGACACAGGTAAAAGATACAATTGTATACCATCGTAATTCACCTCTTGAATATCGTAATCGTTATTTTTCCTATATACGTACTATCCGGTGGAATGAGTATCTCGTAAAGAAAAGGCGTTAAGATATCTGTAGCGAATTTAGAGCTCACCAGGCTTTAATAACATGAAGATGTACGAAGCCTCGTGTGTCATTTCAACATGTACAATCATTTTCCAGGTTCTAGCTAAAGCCTCGAAAATTATTCCAGTTATGATAATGGGGAAAATAGTCTCGCGCACGTCGTACGAGTATTACGAATACGTTACCGCGGCTCTCATCTCCATTGGAATGACCTTGTTTATGTTGGACAGTTCCGATTATAAGAATGGTGAGACCTCGTTTTATTTACACTTATCGGTAAATCAAGGACGGTATTTTTTTTGCACATGAACCGTGCGCGGAGATTAACATTACAATCGGCTTGCGAACGCTTTCAGATGGAGCTACCACGCTCACTGGTGTTATCTTGTTGGGAGGTTACTTAGTGTTAGATAGCTTCACGAGTACCTGGCAAAGTGCGCTTTTTACGGAGTACGGCGCGACGAGCGTGCAGATGATGTGCGCGGTTAACATGTTCTCCTGTCTGCTGACTGCGATGTCTCTGTTCCAACAATCGAGCTTTCCGCTGATATTCGCCTTTATGACAATGGTAAATGATATTATATGAAACACTCTTCGTAACGTCACTTGCACGAGCGTAACGCTAATAACGGCATTTCGTCCGTTCACAGTATCCTAGATTCATAGTCGATTGCTTGCTGATCTCGATCTGCTCGGCAGGCGGTCAGCTGTACATCTTTTACACTATTTCCAAATTCGGACCGGTCACGTTGGTCATTATAATGACCATTCGCCAGGTAATGATCGAATACTATTATAGGAGAGAAAGCAAAGACCGAATCGAGAGAGAAAGATCAACAAACATATGGATGATTCGTGGTGTCTGTTTGCAGGGCTTGGCAATATTGCTGTCGTGCTTGATTTACCATCATGAGATCACCGTTATCGGCGTATTCGGTGTATTGTTGGTGTTCGGCTCTGTGTTCTTACGGATTTACTGCACGAATCGGCTGCGCGCGATCAGAAGGCGCAGGGCCGCGGCGAACAGTATAAAACATTAAGGGTTATCCCATTTAGGCGAGAAATTGCTCCTGTAACTGTCAATAGAGGTAGAATTCTATCGTTCGTTCGTCGTGATTGCCATTAGGCTAGATTCGTAATATCATTGTAATTAGACACACCTTCATTACAAACATAGAGAGACAGAATTCCGCTTCTATATAAGTAGTTAACTTACTCATAATCTGACTTCACACACACATATATATATATATATATATCGCGACCGTATTCCTAATAATTTTAACAGGTTGGTCGTGTCGACTCTCGGAGAAATAATTATTACGAAAGATTTGTAACTATAACGTATGCCGTGTGTGTACTCGCAATGTATCTTGAGAGTGCTAAGCACTCTCGCGACGTGTGTGCGTGTAGTCTTAAGAGAAAGAGTCGTATTAAAACGCGTGTCTCATCAACACAATGAGTGTGCTACGCCATTGTATTATTTATTTGAAAAATATTTATTTTGATATAAATGTGTATACAAACAAACAACGTGTGCGCATATTTTTCTTCATCGAAGGCAAGTACAACACAGGGGGCATAGACACATAGCGCATATTGTTAGCCTCCCTTTCGGGGATTCATGCGAGTTTCAGCTGCTTAAATGTGAAGATACACGTAAGTGGCAGTGTTGACGATGTCGATCAGACAAGTTACGCGAGAGATTAACACGAGAGAGATGAATAATGATTCTTCCATTTCTTTTTCTTTATTCTCCAAACGAAATGAGATGGCATACCGGGTATGGTAAATTACTCCTATTAAGAACTGTCGCCCTGCTAGAGAGTCATTTTACACTTGAGTATAAAATTTAGATCGCAAAATATCTATCATTCATCTAATTCAGTCTACGGAATGTGGATGGTGTATGTACAGTGCTTGTTGGATGCTCGAGAATGTATATGAGGTGTTTTGTACAATTTTTGAAATTCGTAATTGTATACACACAGAGAGTACATTTCGTGGAAGATACACAAAAATATGTTTCTCAGCATCTCTTTCTAATACCCAGTCTTTACTTTTGGATTTTTAGTGCAAAAAATACGCCTGCGAAATCCTATTTCGGCGTGTACATGTGTATTATTATATATAGAACGTTGAGTTTATCTCGAAAGATATAGGAAATATATTACATGGTATATTCCAATATGATGATATGATATTCTGACAAAACTATCTTTCAGACTTAGAGGCACGGTAACAAAAATTACAAGGGGGCGAGAAATGTTCTCTACCACTACTTGATGAAAATAAAAAGACAATGAGGATCTTAGCCCGGTGCGTGACAAAAACCGATAACATACTCGGAATGGACTCTTGTTAAGCATGATAAGTGTGAAGGTAGAGGTAGTGTGATTTCCCTGTCGTCGAAAGGTGTATCAACCGTTACTTCTCCGGAGGTGGCGGTCGGTAAATGGCGATGATGCACATGACAGAGATCACCACCTCGGATGCCAGTAGGGCTAACTGTATGCAACAGAGGATCACCTCCAGCCTGAGTACATAGTACTGCCATAGGAGGAAGTAGAGAGTCGCTAAGGAGCTGGGAACAGTCAAGACTATACCGATGAGAATCGGCAGCCCGCGTTCGGTCAGGTTTCCTCTTCTACCAAGGTAGATCCTGCCGGCTTCCGTCACTATCAGGAAGAATAGTATTGCGAACTCTGTCAGCGTCTTGTTTGTACCCGGCGACGGCAGGTTCGCGGCCTTGAACAGGCCCATGCCGAACTCGCACACGGCGAACATACCGAAGTAGAAAGAGTTCAAGTACATGAGGATCTCGTAGGTCAGCGAGGAGTTGGCTACGGTGGGCATTCTGCCGAGTAGAGGCTGTCTCTCGCCCGATGATGATGATGATACGGACGAGTGTGGTGGTCTGGTATGCGGCCTTACTGGCTCAGAATCGAGCTCTTTTTTCTCCCTCCCTCTCCCTCCTTCTCTCTCTGTGTAGGCACTTAGTCGTTTAACGGAAACATTGTTTGTACAACTGTACCTCCTCTGGATCCCTCCTGCGTTCCTATCCGAACGCTCTGTCGTTTAGAACTCTGTAACCTCTGTTCAGCGTCTCCGTCTCATGGCTTTCGCCGCGACACCGTACGCGCTTTCTCGACGTAACGTCTCTCTCGTGGAGACTCGCCAGCTCGGTCACGACGTAGAAACAACGTCGAATTCTAGCGAATATCGCGCTTCTCCGCGCTCACCTTCGTCGGTGTGTTTATTTTTAACCACGCTGCAACGCCGCGCGAGGATCGCGAATAGGCCTCGAGCGGCGCGTCGCAGTACTGTCAACATTGAGGTAACAATACCTCTGAAGTTTCCTCGTGGTTAAAGAATTTTCGATTATTCTTTTATTGATGGAAATTGTTGTTTTAATTTCTACATAGAGATATAAGAATAGAGGGAACAAGGGATATATGCTACCTGTAAGTGTAAGTGATAGAGGTCAAGAGAGAGATGGATGCCGAGTGTCCTATCTGTCTCTTTCTAGTCGAGCGCTGTGATTGGTTGTTACAATGAGCCACCAAGCGACCACGCGACGTCAGGAGGGGAGAAAGCAGACTAAAATTTCGTTTTGTAAATATGCGTGCACAAGTGTGTAGAATTAAAATTCGTTAAATATTCGAACGTTAACAAAATAATAATTGGACGCGATTTGTTTAAAAATGAGGCATTGTTTGAAATGCAAGGCGGAGTCTTATCCTGGATGTAACCGCAGTTTTCACTCGTAAGAAAGTACAAATACGTAACCTCAAATAATTATATGTTATTTTTTCCTACATTTAAAAAAATATGTAAATGTTGTAGGCTACCGAAGGATGTAGATATAAGGCGTAAATGGTTGAATATACTTCAACTACCTTTGTATTTTGAAGTGAAAACAGTATATATTTGCAGTGATCATTTTAGCAATGACAGTTTCTTTGAATTGGATGGAGAAAAATGTATAGCTATATCGTCGTTGGCGCGGCAGCCAATCCCAGCGCGTGACTAGAAAGAGACAGATAGGACACTCGGCATCCATCTCTCTCTTTGCCTCTATGACTTCCACTTACAGGCTTGTTCCCTCTATTCTTATATCTCTATGAATTTCTACGACATATATATATATATATATATATCAGTAATTTTTTCATTTTCTTGTAGTTTATTTCCGTATGGGAACATTCTTCAAATATTTATGCATTAGATCGACTTATCTGAAGGTAGAACAACCGGTTCGAAATCAGATAAAATCTATATATGATTTTTAGTATAAAACTATATATAAAACGTTATTACGTAAATTTATTTTCCGTTTATTTTTTATATTTTTAACATTAATATACTTCAGGAATATATTAATGAAATTATCAAAATGTGATAGTTGACAGGTAACAATTTATTGACAATATAAGATTAGAAAACGTGGAAATAAATAAAAGTTATTATTTTCACCGCTATTTTAAGATTTCTTTCAGTTATTTACATTGCAAATGTATCACCAAGACAGTCTATTCTTAATCGTGCGTAATCAACGCAGAAGCAAATCGATATCTCAATTTTCTAGCACTGTAGTTGAACTGTGACGTTATGTTAATGATTTCTTATTTACTCGATAAACTCGTGTGTCTCTTACTGGAAAGCAACTAATGTTGTCTACTATAAATAAAAGAAATATCAATCTTAGAGTGAGAGAAGTCGAATAACTGAATATCGAGTATTTCAAAAGCGTTTTCCCCTCATTTTCAAATTTCCCACGCGCGTCACGTGCGCTCAGAGTGACCAACGTGAGAGCAACGTAGTAACTTTTGAGAGACGAGCGACGCGCTATCTATGTCGCGACTTTAATTCGACTTCACTCGTCTCGGACATGTAACGATGAAATACGCGTTCAAAATATCGCGCTCCCGACAAAAACGTCCTTTAGTCATCGATCGCTCGTTACCAAACCGACAAGCCTCCATGTCGTTGGACCGGCGAGTCCACGCGAATTCGACTCCTCGTTACTTCACGCCATGGAAACGATGCATTCCGCTCATTTCACAGCGTTGGTCGCTTCCGGGCGCGCGACGCGCTGGGAACGCGCGCGATCGTTCCCGTATTTCCCGCGACTCCGCGGGAAAAGATCCGATCGACAAATTCGCAGGACATGGATGCGGACGTCGACGAGAGCATCGCTTGCCGGGAAATGGGTAATCCCACGTCTCCGTCGCTCTGACGTCGGCCCGACCGCGTACGAGCGCGCGCGACGCGAGGGCGTGTTTCGGCGATGTCGTTGCGTCCGAATTTCATCAGACTCTTCAGGCAGTCCTCGAGCGGGCTGTCGCGGTGCTGTCGCCGCAATATCATCGCATACCAGAGAAAACCGCATCGGTCGGTCGGCTGCTTTCACCCGCTGATAACGCGCCGCCTCGATCTCGGTGTCGCTGGCAGCCGCCATTTCGCATCGACGCTTTCCCGCGTCGAGCCGATCTTCGTTAAGATCGAGACCGACCTGCCGTGGGGCTTCATCGAACGGGAAGAGACGGAGGAGACGGAGAGAGGTTTCCTGCGGGACGCGCTAGAAGCGATTCTAATATTGGCTAGGATCGCGGTGATAAGCTCGATCGTCAGCACCCTGCTTGCCGCTTATCTGATAACGCGTTTAACACACGCGACTTGGTTTCCTACTATCTTACGCAGAGGTGAATGTGGTTACTTTATATTCTCTTATGTCAATACATCTTATTTTTCTCTCTATCTCTCTCTCTCTCTCTCTCTCTCTCTCTCTCTCTCTCTCTCTCTCTCTCTTTCTTTCTATCTATCTATTTCTATCTCTGTTTTGTTCTATCTGTCACTAATAAGCGGATACATTGTAGACATTAATAGATGGAAATCTGAGATTCCTAATCAGTACATCGGAATTTTTCAAGTATATCCTATCTATCTATAGATCTAGTCACTTGAAAACTTAGACCTTGAGTATATATTATGCAACATTCTTGTACACGTTCTACTTGTTGCCCTCATTTTAGCGTCTCATTTGCAATCTTGTGAAATAATGTCGAGATACTTACACGGAATTACACAGAATTTTGTATCCCGTTGAGTAATGATAGGTTAATGGGAGCTGTACTACTTTCGCAGGTGTCGAATTCCTCGGGCCGATCTTTGTCAAGTTTGGCCAGTGGATATCCATACGGAGGAATATCTTTCCGCAGGACGTATGCGACAGCCTGTCCGAACTCCAACAAAACGTGACGCCGCATTCTTGGCTATACACGAAGCGCCTGCTCAAAGCTGCGTACGGCTCTTCCTGGCGGGACTTGTTCGTGAAGTTCGATGACGAAGGACCGATCGGCTCGGGATGCTGCGCGCAGGTATGCCGGTGAAACACGATAGCATATATTTTACATACTGTCTACATGTATTCGACAGTTGTTATATAATAAGAGATCAAATAAATATTATTTTGTCGAGTTTTTTTCGACTTCGCATTGCAGAAATATCTAGTTATATATATAGATATATATCAAATTTTTGAAGCAATATATCTATTATATGTAGTATAAAATTTGTAGTCGTATTTAAATTAAATCCGAACAAATTAATTGAATTTTAATTTTAATTCTTATTTTGTTTTTTAATTATTTCCTATATCACATGGAAAAAGAATTTCTTGAATTATAGGAATATGATGTTTTTAATGGAACTAGCCGGGAAAAAATTTCTCACATATAATTAGATATAATTATATGTATATGTACATATATATATATATATATTTTTTTTTTTTCATCTAATAGTAAGTTTATCTTCATATAAGATTATATATTTTTGCTTATATATGAGAATAGGAATTTCGAATTGATACTAATTTTTTTTCTACATGAGATGTTTTCGCTTCATGTTTCTTTAGATAATAATTCCACGGCGGAAATTACATGTTACCCGAATCGGATTTGCAGGTGTACAAGGCGTGGATCGATTTGAGCAAGATCGCGGGCGTCACTGCGGCGGAAGGAGATACCCGAGTGTCACGTTTCGTGGAAAGTAAGTTTAGAAAGTGTTTTCACTTCGCGCGATAGCGACTTGCGTGAGCGACTTCACGAGGCCGTCCTCTTCTTCTTCTGCTTCCTTTTTCGCACTTCCATTTCGCTATCATCCGCTTTCGAAACGTATTTCGAGGAACGCATTGTACGTAATTTAACGGCGCAAGCTACTTCCGCTCAACGCACGGCTGCTGACGCGTGTAAATTGCCGCTGGAGTCGACAGGACATCAGCAGATCGTTGTGTATCGATGATTTTAGACGAAGTTCCTGATGATGAAAATGACGAAAACGGTGAGGTCGCTCCGCGCGCGGCCAGGAAATTGCAAGCCGTCGCGGTAAAAGTGTTGCATCCTGGAATCAAAGGCCAACTCAAGTACCTCTTTTAAGATACCGCGAAGATAACATTTAATAGTCTTTCCCGGCAACGTTCAATCGCGCCGCCGATAAGAGCCGCGTGATGGACCGTGGATGTTTATACTTCTGTTGCAATCATACAGGGTGTTCCGCCGCTACCGCGTTCGCACGTTCAATGACTGATTTCTCGGTCGTTCCGATGCCAATCCGTTCTCAATGAAAATATCAAGGAATATCACTTTCTTCATCGCAATTTTCCCGTGTTCAAAATTATCCGCAATTAAGAGTTAAATTGATATTCTGTTGAAATAAGCTCCATTTGAAACTGATTGAAGCGTACACGCATCGTTTATATTCACACTGTTGATATTTATTTTGCAAAAAGGAGATTGTGCTTAATCCTTTAAGACCAACACATCGATCCTATTGGAATAAAATATTGTAATTTAAAAGATCGTATTAAAAGACGTTCCTGATAAAAAAATTTTTTGTTCGAATAAAATTGACCGTCAGGAAGTGTAATTTTCTGAATGTACATAATTATGTACTTTGGGCGTTTAAGGTGTAAAAATGAGAAAATATTGAAAATATTATTAAAAGAATTGTTTTATTTACGAAATATTTATTTTCCGCTTGTTTATAACATAGTCGTTGAAGAACATCGGGCAAAATTTTCATTCATTTTTCGGGCAAAATTTTCATTCAATTTTCAGAACATATTTATATTTTTCACAAATAACCTTATCTAAATCCGTGCGTCGAATATTTTGCTCTACATGCCATTGCAAATACCAGTCATCAGCTGGAAAGATATTATTTCACGGGTTTGGACGGACAATATAGCTTCATTAGGATCGGTTGATAATATTATATCGACAGAATAATTACCAGGAGATGAAATTTGGAGATCAACATTTAAGGTATTATTATATACATTGGGTCTTAAAGGGTTAATTGCGAAATGGATTTAAAAAATCTACTCGCGCCCTCGGACATTTCCGTCGAGGGTTCTGAATTAGCCGGGGAATCTCTGTAGTAAACGGTAATGACGGGACACCCTGTATACCCACTATTCGTTTCAGAAGGGACATCGCGATAATGCGCGGCCTTTGCAAGTGCGCCACGTATCTCATACCGGAACTGCATTGGCTCAGTCTCACGGATTGCATCGACGAATTCGCGCGGATAATGCAAGACCAAGTAATTTCGCAACACGCATATTTCCCACGACTCTCTCTCTCTCTCTCATCTCCTATGTGATCTGGAGAAAAAATCTCGTTACAATGAACTCTGCCGGGATCCAAGTCCTTTCGCGGGAGGATTGAGAGACTCGTTAAAGCCGGCACGGAAATTTCGACGAGTTCGCGCGCGCGCAGCGAAATCGACGAAGAACAATCCGCTCTCGCGGAGAAGAGAAACGGTAAGTGAATGTGGCAACACGCTCGATTAAATCACGCGATTGTTTGCTAAGGTTGATATGCGACTGGAAGCTACGAATCTCGCGAGATTCTCAGCGAACTTCTCGAGGAGGCGCGACGTTGTGTTTCCGTATCCGTTCGCGCATCTCACCCGTCGCGGGATTCTCGTGGAGACCTTCCATGAGGGCTCGCCGATATCCGAGTATCTCGAGCACGACGACGTCGCTCTGCAGCGCAAGCTCGCCAAAATTGGGATCGCGATGGTCCTCAAAATGGTTGATAATGCTAGTTTGAAAAATCTTTTTGAATAAAATTATGAAATGTACACAATAACAAATCTTACGTTGAAACGGCCCACTGAAATTTTTTATTACTTTAATACGGAGAATATATTAAAAAATATATAATGTTATAATGTTATAAATATAAAACAAATATAATGTCAAATTAATATATTTATCTTGTCAATAAATGTTAATTTAATATTATATTTGTGTGCTTCTTAGTATATTTCCCATGTTAAAGTAACACAAAATTTGGGCTGTTTTTAATACTAAATTCTTTACTGTGTACATCATTTGAATCGTGTAACACCTACATGGAGAAATAAAAGTGATCGATTGACGTAACAATGAACAGATCGAATGCGTTTTGGCTGAAGGAAAGAGAATTTCCTAAGAATCGAATTTAGTTCATAAGAATTCGAAATTTGGCTGCTACGAAAACGCATTTGATACACTCATTGTCACGTTAATTTAACCATTCTTTTTTCTCTATGTATGAAAAGATAGTATTGTGTAATGTGAAAGTAGTGAAAGATAGTATTGTAGTAATATGAAATATCATACACAACTTAAGAATCTCGAATAAATATGCTGTTTTACGCCGGTCGTCTGATATTCGTATCAAGTAGCAACTTTTTATCGAATTACTTTTATTATGAATTTTGACCATTTATTTTTGACTCTCACTTTATTTTTTGAGTAATTTCAAGGAATCCTACTTTTCGAGGAATTCCGCTTTTCGAGGAATTTCAAGAAATTTGGAAAGTGATATACCATCATTTACATGTATCACCGGGACAAAGATATTTCAAAAAATTACTATTTGCGATACGCTTATTAGACGATCGGCGTAAACAAGACCAATGACGGGATTAGATTTAGATAAGATTCAATCCGGCGCGGAATTAGATCCGCGATTCGAGAACGATATGCGAAGTCGCACCAACGTTCTGACGTTACAGGTATTCCAAGACAACTTTATTCACTGTGACTTGCATCCGGGGAACATTCTAGTCGAAAAAGCAGTCGTTCCGAAGGCAGGCCTGTTTAGCACCTTTCGGCGGGTCATTACCCCTAATTACGTGGCGGACGGCCCACGCTTGATTATATTGGATTGCGGTTTAGTGGCATCGCTGAGCGATCGCTGCCGACGAAATCTGCGAGACGTTTTTCATTCCGTGCTAATGGGAAACGTAAGCCGAGGAGATTACCATTCTTTATTGACACGCTCTCCCTCCGTGCTTTCTCGTTCAACGAAAAGAAACCGAGAAGTCGAGGAGGACGATCGTTCATTCTTTTTCGGAAACGTTTTTTTACAAGGTATTCCGCTTTGCGTTGGTGGCAAACGTTGATGGCAAACATTATTTTTTTTCTTTTTTTCATCAACTTCGGTTTTTCCGGTCTGCGTAAGAAATGATATTATCTAATATTATGAAACGAGAAGTAATGATCACGGTGGATCATCTGTGTAATGACGTTATGATATCTCAATTTAAACTCAGTTTGAACGTAACAAAGTTTTTTACGTCTCCCTTTGAGCATTCCTCCTTTTAATATATTTGTAATTTTTCATCTTTAATTTCTTTTTCTTGCGTGTGAGTCTAAATAACGGTTCTTCATTGTTTTGCGGTTTATTCTGTACGAAAAGCTGCGTTTATACAGTCTCTTAGCAAAAATTAGCAAAATTTCTACATAGTAAAAAACACTGTACTTGTGTCAAAATCGGTTCTTATTAAAATTTTTGTATTAAACTTTTAACATATTCGTGTATTAATTTAACATATTGTGTTTATGATATTTCAATACATATTTTGTGTTGAATTGATATTCAACATATGTAGGGGAGACCGGAGCAGGTTCGGTAACTTTTCAAAATTTCGGTATTATTAAATTTGTGTTAATTTTTAGAGAAAATATTTATATTATTATTATTATTATTATTGTATTGTTATTATTATTAATTTCGGTATTAATAACATATTAATTTTGTGTTAATTTTTGACATAATATTTATGTTACTTTTCAACGTATTCGTCTTGTGTTAAATTAACACAAACATTTTTTGACCGTTTGGGACATGTGAAATGTGTTAAATTTGACACAAATTTTTACTCTGACGGTCTTAAAATTTTTGTCTAACGAAGATCGTGAAAGTGCTCGTAAAATAGTTCCTAATTTTCAACTATTCGTCTCTTGATTTTCGCATGGTGGAGAGAGAACTAACTTCACAGGTATCGTTTGTACATCGTTAATGCACCATGGTCCATCCCGTTCGTTACTTCTACCGCTCAATCAACCGATATATATTGAAGCAAAACGTAACATTAGGGCGAAATGGCGGCGCAATATATCCTGGAGCACAGTTCGTACACGACTCCCGATCCGGACGGCTTCAAGCGCGCAATGAAGAACATCGTGAGAGCCTATTACAGCAGACCGTTTAACGTTAGTATAAACGCGATATCACGAAGGAGATTCACATGAGATTCGCCGAAGAAACGAATCGCGCTGCTACACCTCAACGTCCTCTTCGTTCAACCACAGATCTTCTCTTCTCGTGATCGCGAGATTGTCATTAATTTTTTAGACGTCACATTGCTTCTCGGAATCGAACTGTCTCTCTTTCTCTCTCTCTCTCTCTCTCTCTCTCTCTTTCTCCGTGCACTTATCGTCGCGAAGTCTGCAGGCGATCGCGCGGTAAATATTGTATGTATACGCGCATCGAAGTACCGCTGCCTACGGTTTCGGTTGCGACGAATTATCGTAGCGTACAGAGCGGACGTGTACGAGACGGCCGTGATTATATAGCGGGCATGTCGCTATATGCCATTAAGATCTCGCGGATACAATCAGAATCGATCGGCCTCTGAATAAATGTATCACGATGGGAACGACGGCCGCGTAGTCGCGACAAGCAATTACGCATATCGCGTATTAACACGCGGCGCGGGGTAGGCTAACCAGTTTTTGATACCGGTACCTATAATGCTGATAATGGGTAATTGCGATTATTACAACTTCTATACATAGCCTCCTTTTATTCGGGAAAAAAATTGCGCCGACAAGGGACATTCCCGATCCAAACGCATAACAAATTTGTATCCGAGAAGCTGAAGGATGTGACCGTAGAAATTGACTTTTCTTGCTTTTTTTCTCGTAGACGCACGGAGAAAAATTTTTCGCTCGCACAGCAAATTGTTTGTTACTGTAGTGACAGCGAAGAGATTTGTTACAAAGAAAAAATAATTTTGCCGTTGTAGCTAAATCTCGTTGCGACAGCGACAAAATCTAGTTGAAATAATTAGTAATTAATACTTTTAACAAATATTTTTACTGTCACTGTAGTAACAAACAATTTGTTGTGCTAGCACAAAAATTTTCTTCGTACGTTTTCTCGATTCTTTCTCGTTGAAATAATTGCGTCATTTTGTAGTATAGTTTTAAAGACTCAGAAAAACCGGTTTTTTTTTTCAATTTTTCCGCGGTTTTTTTAACACATAGAACGTGCCATAATTTGCAATTGTCTCCAACAGCAAAATTTATTCGTTGATTTTCTCCGAGCCGGAGAACCTCGAACTCGTAAAGGAGAATTCGTCGCAACTGAGGTCGCAATTTGCGAGACGTCGGAGACGTCTTATCTAGAAAAGCAAAAACGATTATTACACGCATAGTCTTTACGAATACTCGCAGGTTAAGGTGAGTACCGTTATGACGGAATTATTTTCCGCGATGGTCCATCACCGAGTCAAGCAGGACGCGTCCTTCAGCAGCGTCATCCTCAGCGTGCTGGTGGTCGAAAGCCTCGGCCGACACCTGGATCCTAAGATCGATATTTTCGCGGAGATCCTACCCTTCGTCGTCAGCAGTACCATATATGGCGCATGAGATTCTAAATAAAGATACACCGTTAACACGAACGAGGAGATTTCTCGAGCACGCGTGTCTCACACGTTAATATTTACATTCTTCACGTTTTTCTTACCTCCATCTTACAGTTTTTTTTTTAATTCTCGCAGGTTCTTCGATGTTTTTCTCGTTTACGACGTGTCCGGCTATTAAGAGTTTAATGGCAGATCCTTCAGATAATTTGGAAAGAATCTGTTTACTTTGAGTTTTCGCTCTTCATCATTGCGGTCTTTTTGTGTCTCAGCAATTAACTTTTGAGTTAAAAAAAAAAAACTCCATTGACACAGAATCTCGCTAAAATGAAGCAGAAATTACGATTTTATCGTCTTCTTCTTTTTTCCTCTCCATGTTTAATTCATTGAGAAAATAAGAGAACTTTGAGAATACCGCAAGAGAAACACTTCGGGGCTATTTTTGTTTTGCGACGAGTGATCAATTTTCCAAATCGACCGTAGGATCTGCCCACGAGAAGGACGTCCGTCGACTTGGTGAACATCTTGTGCAACAAAACGCACATAATTACAGAATGTTTTCGTTACACTCACGTTACCTCCTAACGAGACACGTCGAGTATTATATACGTCGCGTATCGCGAGTAAATTTATTCGCGTTGCATAATAAAATCGGCCGAGCGATACGGTTCCGAGCGGGAGGGAACCTCGGGCGAATTCCAGCTTTAATAACGCGGCATTAAAATCATTCGCGAAGTGAAGGAGAAAGAGTGAGAGAAAGAGAGTGACAGAGGAAAGAGAGGGAGGGGGAGAGAGAGAGAGAGAGAGAAGGAGAGAGGGAGAAAGAATAAAAAAAACAAGAAAAGGCAAGAAAAAAGAAGGTAGAGAGGACACCCATTTTAAAACGAACCACCGCGCCATGTAATCGTATCCGACAGAATTCCGGCGAGTGACCAGTTGTCCGTGATCGCTTCCTGGTTGGTCGGTCGGTTGGTCGACCGGCCCGATCGTCTCTCTTCAGTGTGGCGATCACACACCGCGTCTCTCGCATGTGTTACACGCGTGCGTGCGTGTAACACACCTGTGCCCGCGTCCGCGCACGTACACGTGCGCGCCGCGGATATAATGTGTGCGGGTTTACCGCTTCGAAAGAGAGAGAGAGGCGGAGAGAGAGAGAAGCCGGACTATTAATTGAAGTGAGCTCTTCTTCTTTTTACAAAAATCCCATGATTTATGAAGTTATGAATACATCCTGGGCACGACGGCTGCGACGTCAGGACGGACTGGCGGCTTTCGTTAACATTTCGTTACGTGAGACGGGCGAGAGGGGGATTCTTTTTCTCGAAAAATCGTCGACCCTATGTGTTTTGGTAAACATCATCGACGTCTGTTCGTGTGTAACTCTGAGTTCACTTGAAGAGCGACGCTAATAAAGCGGTTGAAACCAACGTACTTTTTCGAGTGTTCATGGCGAAAAACACTTTGTTCTTGCGTTGAAACCGGCCCTTGTTTCATGTTGAATTCTCAACACACAGCCGTGCTATATAAATTCGTCGGAATAGGAAATTATCGTCAGTTAATATGTTAAATTGCACGTTTCGTTGAAATAGTTTCGCGATTACGATACAGATTTTCGTTATTTTTTGTTACATCAAGAATATTTGGGCGCTACATATATATCTCGTGCTTTTTCACCGATTTTTGCGAATCAATTCCACCGAATATTCCCGGGATCCTGTTTAGTCGCGTACATAATTAAACGGTGATCGATCCTATCTCTTCTTTTTTCCCCCGAGGTGAACACAAATACGAAGAAAGACGCTTTGCTACGCGTGCGTCTCTTCGGACAGGTAAAATTTCAAGCCGACGTGGGCGAGCGATCGAACGTGATCCGTCGCGACGCATCGAACAAGAGTCGGATGTTCAGATTCGGGATCCGATTAGCGTATACAAAGCGATCACCGATCGCTTCTAATGTACAATTGGATCCGTGTCACTTGTGCATTTCGTGAGAGATTTCTCAGGTGCCCTCCTACGCGCGTCTCTCTCGCGTCTTTTTTATACATTGTGATCGTTGATAACAGATAAGTGAACAATCGGTCAGGCGACATACAGCCGACTACAAAAACCAGTTCTTCGGCCACGGTCCTTTTAGACGAACGTCACATTCCACATAGTAAAGTATACGATCCTGAGAGTATATTCTGGCGGATCTTCTCCTTCGTAAATCTCCGGATTTGTGTCCACGATCACGTGTCCAAGCCGGACAACGCGTAACGTGGAAAAAAGCATGGCACGCATATTTGGACATGATCTATCGTTCGTTCATTGGATATATTTACGGGAGGAGAGGGGAGGGGGGCATGATAAAGATATCTCCGAAATTAATCAGCCACTTCATTGGGATTATTTCTTTCTCCGTCACTGTACGCAACAGTGAGGCGCGACGTGTATCGCTCGCGATAATAAGAAGTTTTTAGATACGTCGTCTGGAGATCGATTCGCGGGATATCCGCGTATCGAGAGAATTGCGCGTCACGCTTGTTTTTTGCATGTTCTAATTTTGTCAGATTAACGAGGCGGCTCAATAGACGTCAGGGGAGCCGTGACTGTTTCCTTCACGAAAGAGAAATTGCTCTGCCCATGACAGATTGCCAGGGGAGACCAGGAGCAGGTTTCCAAACTCTTCAAAATTTTATTTTATTACCACTAACGTCGTGTACGAGATTTCAGGTAGTTACAGGGTGTATCTGAACTCTAGCGACAAACTTACAAGACAGGTTTTATGTTGAAAAATGAGTAAAAAAGTTTTAGTAAACATATGTCCGCAAAAACTTGGTTTTTGAAATATAGCTTTTAGAAAATGACAACGATGGAGGAAAATGTCTCACGATACGTGGCTTAAGAATGCTAATACAGTACTTTTTTATTTGTTCTTGAAGATAATTACCTATCAATATTTCTGAATACGACTTGTTTAGGACCAATAACGTCTTCACGAGTTCCTCGCTCGTCGTGTTATGCCGCAGTACAATGCTACAGTTATTTGCTGATGTGCACGAAAAGTCGAAATCGCTATTACTCGTAACTGGAATCTTTTGCGTGCTCCGTGGGATTTCACCGGGAGCTTCGGTTCGCCGTGACTTTTTCGGCACTCAGAATCGTGAATGGCGAAGTTGCGTTTTTCTGTCCGCTTCACGTGAGACACGCACGCCGCGGTTCTGTCGTGGTTTATTTATGCGTGTGATTATTTTGCGCCACAGGAACAGATGTTTGCGCCTATACAGGGTGTGCTAGACTTACCGGGCGTTCCTTCGTAGCTGCGGATAATAGAGGCGAAACTGAGCGACGACGATGATTGTTTTGACGTTGACGAAAAGTTACCGAGATATTTTATTTTACAAAATTCCAGAACTGATCATTTTTATTTTTCCCTTTTTAAAAAATAAACTTTTCCTTTTTTTCTTTTCTTTCCCTTTTCTTTTTTAAGAAACTCATCTGAAATCAGTTTAAAAGGTATACACAGAATTTTTTGTTTCAGTAGAAAAATATTTAATATATAATAAAAAAAATTTTGTATTGAAAATGAAATATTATTTCCTCTAAATAATACTGCTTTTTCTACTAAATAATATGGTTTATTCCAGTGATATAACATTTTTATTCAAACAAAAAGATATTTGATATTAAATTATGTTGTTTATATAAAAAAAAAAAAAATCCAAGTCAAACACGTACACTAAATCCAACGAAACCTTTTTTTCCGTGTGCACAGAATAAAATCTCGCAGGCAAAAGTAAGTCCACTATTAGCGAGTTTCGCCTTCGGACACGATTTTGTAGAGATCTTACACAATATATATTTAATTCACTTTTACTCCGATTCATTCTCCCGATTAATTCCCGCGGCGTTCTATTTTTATTCTCCGAAAGAAACAGAGATACCTTTCTGTTTTCTTATTTATATCTTTAGATAATTTCATATGCTAATAATGTCGCACGATGACGTGCGCTTTTGTCAGAGAAAAACAAAAGTCGGCTGCAGCCGCAATTAACTCGGATCCATGCGTTTATCTCCCTTTCGTGGGCGTTCTTAGTCAGCGCGCCCGCGTTCTCGCTTATCCCGGTTTATTAGAGAGAACAATACGAAATGTACGCACCCTACGGAATTACAATTTATGCGTTCGGTACGCGCATTACCTCACTATCGCAGTATAGTGCTTCGTAAAGTATCTTGCCGGGGCTGTCGCGGCTAGAGCCGGTCGATCCATAGAGCATCCGGCGTTTCTTCTTCTTTTTCTTCTTCTTCTTCACCTTGTCCCGTCCCGTAGATAATTCCTCTGTCCATCCGGCAGGTTACACAGATTAAGTCGGAAGATAGTGGAGAAAGCCGTTGGAGGAAAAAAAGGATCTCGTAAAGCGTTCAATCGCTCGCAACGGGGGGGGGGGGGTTTAAATGCTTCTGCAGGTAAAAAAAGAAACCCCGAAATGACCGGTTTGAGCGTAAAGTGGTATTTGGAAAAGCCACGCTGGAAAATAATCGGGTGAAAGGAACCAAGTCTCATACGGTAGAAAATTTTGGTGTTAGAAACGACGCAGAAATTTTGCATTACCTTAACACGGGAAATATGTTAAAAAGTACACAGATATAATGTTAATTTATTGTAATATTTGAATATCTTTCTTCATCTTGAATATGTTAATCAATTAATTTACAATTCGACTGTTAAACAAATATTAAATTCACAGGGTAATTAATATCATTTTGACTCGACCGCAGTCTGTTCGACGAAATTTACATCAACTCTGGGCGGTAAAAAATTTGGTATTAAAAATTGTCCATTGAAATTTCGTGTCATTTTAACGTGAGGGGGAATGCGTGTTGAAAAGTACACAAATATAATGTTAAATCAGCACACGTCGCAAGGTGAAGAAAGAAATTTAATTTAAATCTGATGGAGAGAAACTAATTCCAAGTTATTTTTGGAAAAATCGTAATAACAACATCTGGCTGAAAGAATCACTCGGT